GTACACTGGTACAGATAGGAACTGGAAACACAGGGAATCCAGGGCGGATGATTCCTTCAGGACCAGTGGTGAGAGTGGCGATACCGGGAACGTAGAGGGAGGGTGGGGTGGAAAGGGGGAACCGATTACAAGGATCTACATGTGACCTCCTCCCTGGGAGATGGACAACAGAAAATCATATCATTGTGAATGAGGGGGAGGAGTACAGAGTGGGAACCCAAAGCCCACCGGTAGGCAACTGGACATCCCCTTACAGAAGGGTCGCAGGGAGGAGAGGAGCCAGTTAGAGTGCAGTGTTGCAACGATGAGCCATAGAACTTGGCACCCCATCTGAACTGGTTGGGCACTACTCACAAGGGGGCCATAACTGAGGGGGAGGTGGGGTGGGAGGGGGCACCACACTGCTCCATCCCTGGCTGCAGGAATTGCAATGGGGATGTTTAGGGTGCTCGCCTGTCAACACGAGCACTGAAGACTAAAAGGGTGCATGAGCTGTTAGGTAAGCAGGACTCAGGAAATGCAGCTCTGGAGGAAAGGGGGGCTGGACTTAGCATGTCCTTCCCTCTATTTAATAGAGAGATAGTCATCTGCTCTATGTCAGGATCTCTGTTAGTCTTGTGACTATCTGTGTTTCTCTTCCTTTTTTGTTTTTTGGTGTTTATCCATACAAGATAGGCAGGATAAGCCATCTTATGGAGACAGCGACTGGTCCAATGGTTCCTGGGGGCCATGGGAGAAGAGGTGGGGGGAGGTGAGCAGGGAGTCAATAGTAACAAGTACAAAGGAACAGTACATGCTCTAAAATTGATGGAGAGGAGGGTGTAGCTTTTTTGGTCAAGTTTAATCGATTGAATTGTATCTGAGAATTACTAAGAGGTGAGTGATGGGTAAACATATTCGTGGGGTAGGAGGAAAGAGAAATGAAAGGAGGAAAGAAAAAATATGTGTATATTGGTTTATATATATATATACATATGCAAATGCAACAAGGAAGCAGATAGACTTTGGGTCTCTACTTAAATCTTACTTCAGTTCAAGAACAGTTTGTTCTAATAATGTGGCATTGTAAGATACATACACTGTCACAATCACTGTCACGATCACTACAGAAAAAATGTGCACACGTCAATGTGGTGGAGAAAGCTGATGGTGCCCAGCTATTAAAAGACATAGGGTCTGGGGTCTTAAAGGCTTGTAGTTAAACAAGTGGTCATCTAGCAAGGAAGCAACAAAGCCCACCTGGAAGAAGCACACCAGCCTGTGTGATCATGAGGTGTCGACGGGAAGAGGTATCAGAAGTTCAAAAACAAGCAATAATTCTATGTGAAGGGGCATGTATGTAGTGAGACTCAAAACAATCCCTCTCAGAAGGGCCACACGGAAGGGATAAAAATCCCATGGTGCAGTAGAGCACTGATGAACCACATCACTATCCTCTAATTTTTTAATATTTCCTCCCCTTACTATTATTTTTTTCACCTCATTAATCATGTTAGATTTGTCTATATTCATTTGTATATTTAAGATCATTCAGAACATGAAAACCAAGATAGATAACGCTTCAGAAACAGTAACAGAAGTAATAGTTCCCCGGGAGTACAGGCAAAGAAGTAGAGGAAAGTATCAATAGGCAGCTGATAACATTAATGACTGTATAACCCTACTCAATGAAATAGAACTGCAAAATTGTATGTGAATGGATATATTGGATCATGTAGGATATGGCAAAAACAAAAGGCAAAGGAGGCCATTGTTCACTGAAGCACCAGACACCCAAAGGCCTCCTAGTTTAGCAGTAAGACATTTTTATTTCTTGATGTGTTAGCCCGGGTAGACTAGAGAAACAAATCCATAGAAACTCACATGTGTATAAGAGAGTTTTACATTACGAAAGCATCCCAAGCCCTTAAGTCCAATAGGAGCCCATATGTCCAATACCAATCTATAAAGTCCTCTTCACACTCAGAAATCTCATGCAAGGACGCACAACGCAGGACGATCCCAGGCCACTGGGTAGAAAGTCTTTGGATCCAGTGGCCCGTTGTCAACATCTCAGCGCTGGCAGGGGTTTCCACGTGTCTCCTCCAGTTCCCAGGGCTGCCTCAGGGAAGGTCCATGTGGCTTCTCCTCGGGGATGTCTTGCAGGAAGTGAGCAGAGAGAGAGAAGTCTCTCCTGACTCCAAGGAGGAAATACCAGAATTCCCAAAATCCTCAGGAGAAGGCCATGCCCACACAGAGGCCTCATTGGCTGTGACCCAATGGACAGATGAGACTCCACCCCTTCACTCTTAATCCTCTCAAGTCCCAAATTGACAGCAGATGATGTAACTGCCACACTTGAGGATAGCTGCCCTGAAACGGCAGCCTCTGTGTGGG